TAATAACAACATGATAATAATTCATATATTACGTGAGGAAAATATTCCATATAATAGGGATCTTCGACGAACCATGATAACAACACACTTACGTTTAGGATATAGGACAAGTATGATTATTGAAGAAGAAAACGTCTACTCAATAATATCTGCCGTCATGATTGAGTAGTTACATTCTTTGACATGTGTCCACAATTCAGTACCTTGAACGGAAGGCACGCAGATACCGCTGTCTGTAAAAAGAAAAAGACGATAGAATCTGACTATATGTGGATTCTAAATAAAAACTAGTGATCGGTCCCAGCAGACTATAAGCCCATGGGAGTTACTATTATTATCATTATTAATAGTATCTGTCTGTGTTAATACTATGGTTAGCGATAGAAAAGAAAACGAATAGATTAGTTCTCGCTTATTTGTATGCATATCTGGAATGAAAGAATTTTTGTGTCAATCATGTTAACAGAAGTAATCAACCATACTATATATATATATATATAAACGCATATAAACACATGTATGTTATTTTTTTGTAGATATAATATATGAATTTAAAAAAATGACTACTACGTTAAATGAAGTAAAAAACCGTTCTTTTAAAAGTATATTTCAAGCTATACGTTCGTATTTAATTAATTCTATTCGCCAATTAAATTTTTATTCTGATGATCCATTTTGGTCATCAACATTAACATATTCTCAACAAATAATTAATACTCGTTTATTTCTTATATTTATTTCAATATCACTTTCTATTGTTATTATTTATTCAAGTTTAATTAATGTAACAAATAATGTAACTCTAAACGAATTTTCTATAAACGATTTTGAACGACTTGAATATCTTTATCCTAATACAATAAATGCTTTATGTAGTCATGAATCAATTCCATATGAAAAATTTCTTTATTTATCTCCTATATTTCATCAAATATGTTCAAGTTCATTTATTGAAACTAAATGGATATCATCATTATTTTTGTTTAATGCAACATCTCATAATATATTAGATTATCGTACATATGGATTTGCTCAATATCGTTCGCTTAGTTTACTATGTAATATATCACGTCAATCAGTAAAAGATACTCATCGTACATTTAATTCTACTCATTTTGTCAATCATGATGTTTTATCAAGAAATCAATTTAATGAAATATCATTTGTTCTTTTGAATAATTTTCAAAAAAATATTTTATTCAATGAAAAACAAACTGGACAAATAATATCAATGATGACAGCATATAATCAATTATGGTCAGCTCTACGTACAAATTATTATGTTCGATCTATACCTGGTTCACGATTGTATAATACATATAGTAGAATTTATTTAGTAGATAATCAAACAGAAGATTCCAGTTGTGAATGTAGATCAAAAGGAAATCAATGTATTTATCCAGCTGGAGCTTTTTATAATTGGACTTCATTTGAATTAGATATGCCGGAAAAAAATTATCCACCACCTCGATTTCAAGTAAGATAGCTACTTTCCTTAAAAGTGATAATATTTCGTGCAAAAAATCTATAAATTTTTAAGATTCCTGGACTAATGGCTGGATGTACTCCACTTGATTCGATACGTCAATCAACTTTGGAATGTTTATATAATCAAACTTGTATAAATGCGATATCACTTCAACCAGAAATATCTCACCCACAAGCTTTAAATAGATCATTAACACGATTTTTATTAAATGCTACAATTGGTTCAATATTTGATGAAGCATTATTTGTTGAATCTTGGCAAGATAAATCGAATTATGAAAATTATTTCTCTGCTTGTGCACCTCAATCTTTATCTTATAGTTATGAAAAACGATTTCATTTCAGAACAATTCTTACATTAAGTCTTAGTGCTTTTAGTGGTCTTGTCATTGTATGGAAATTAATAACGCCAATGTTTCTTAAAATTTTTCATTTTATTAAACGAAAACAACAAACTTCGATAGAATTACAAACGATACCAGTGAATTCAGAAACAGTAAATATAGGTTAATATTATTATTTTTTAAGTCGAATTAAAATTCTAAAAAATTATTTTTATTATAGTTGTAAAAACTCGTATTTATCGAAAAATTCATAATTTTAATTTATTTCCCTCCGATGATAAAAACGATATAGAAGAAGAACGTATTGGTATAATAACAACACGTCTTTATATATTTTTAATCTGTATTAGTCTTATAATTCTTGGTTTTTATACCAATTTATCTAAAAAAGACCAAATAAATATTATTAAAAATCCATCAATGGAAAAATTTGAAGAATTAAATTTGAAATATTCTACAAAATTAAATTGTCCTTGTTCACGTTTTTCAATGTCATACAATCGTATAATATCACTTTCAACTCGGTATCATTCTATATGTAAAAGTGAATTTTTAAAGGATTATTGGTTATCTTATTTTAGTCAAAAAAATATTCAATTTATGTCAACTGATATTCGAACAAGTGGATTAGCATTTTTTAATTTAATTAAAATTCTATGTAAAACATCTGAAGAAACAATTGAAAATGCAATAACGATATTTCGAACAAATCGTTTAATTACAATGAATACATTATCATATGAACAATTTTCTACTGAAATTCAAACACGTTTGAAATTTTTTCAACAACAAACTATTTCTTCATTTCTTCATTTAATTCAATTAATACGTTCAACTATACAAATAAATCAATTAGTGGAAGAAATGTATACAAATGTTGGACATGTATCAAAATATAATAATGATACATCAACATGGTTAATTCGTTATAAACCACGAAGTTTTTATACAAATAATTGTTCATGTCTTTTATCCAATGAATGTACTCGTCTTGTTGGTTTTTATTATAAATTAGAAAATCGTACTAGTATTGAACCTAATATATCTATTCCTGGTTTAGTTCTTGGTTGTTATGCTATTGATTCAGTTTTATTATCAACTTTAGAATGTTTTTATGAGAAAAAATGTATCAAAATTCTTATTGATAATTATGATTTTGATGCTATTGGTTTAGTTCAACCATTAGATAATCGTACTAAACGAATTCAACCACTTTCACGAAAACAAACTCGTTTTTATCCTAAAATAACAATCAATGAAATATTTTCTCAATTATTTGTTGAAGAATGGTTTAATTCAACTAATTATACTTCATACTATACACGATGTAAACCTTTACAATGTACTTATACTGTACGAAAAAATTTTAATATTGCTTATATGTTAGCTATTATGCTTGGATTTTATGGAGGATTAAGTGTTATTTTAGATATTATTCTCTATCCAATGGTTAAATTTGTTATTAAACGATCGACAAAACAAAATCCTACAAATATGATTACAACCGGTAAGATTATTATTATATCGAATAGAATTAAACGGAGCCAATACTCACTAAGTAGGGTTCTGCATCAGGATTGCGTATTCTCAAAACAAAGACTTCAGCTGAGTGCTCGGGTCTCACTCAAGATGTATCGCAGGAGAAATGCCAACGAGATTCAAAAATCCGATGCAGGATCCTCTTGCGAAGAATCCTTAAATAATAAAAGGCTTTTTTTTGGAGAGTAATTGAATTTACAAACAACTAGTTCTCGTTTATAATAAACTTTCGACAGGAACAAGGTGGAGAGCTGCGATTTTCACCGTTTAAACTTGAATTCAACTATTCACACACCCTTTGTCAGATGTATTAAAAATAGAATTTTACTGTATTTTAGATGCATCAATGGAATCTTCTACAGAAAGAACTACTCATTCGATATATCAAAAAATTTTAACAATGAATTTCTTTAAAAATAATTCATCATCAAATGAAAAAGAATTTGAATATGAAGAAATTTGTGCAACTCGTATTTATGTATTATTTCTTTTATTGAGTGTGATGATTATTCTTCTATATTCTGGTCCATTTAATGATGAAAAACAACCTATAAAAATAGATAATCCATCAATAGATTTAATTAATGATCTTTATAAACAAAATTATTCAAGTCTGACATGTCCTTGTTCAAAAGTTGCAATTAATTATTCGAAATTTTTATCAATTAAATTTAAATTTCATCCAATATGTTCAAAAGAATTTCTATCTTTAGATTATCGAAAAAATTTATTAGAAAATAACGAATCTTCAGAATTAATAACTCATTATCGAATATTATCATCACTTTGTCATCTATCGAAAGAATTTCTCAATAATGCTAAATATGTATTTGATAATCAGGAATATACAACGGTTGAATTATCAACAAAATCTTTATTTAATATTGAAATAAAATCTTTTCTTTTAAATTTTATTCATCAAACAAAATCAAATTATAAACGAACATCATCATTTATAATGAATTCATTCCATGTTAATCAATTAGTAAATTTATTTCTAAATAACTGGAACATTAGTTTTACAGATCAAAATCAAAATTATATTATAAATACATTTCCAAATTATTTTTCATCATCGAATTGTACATGTGCAATATCATCTCATTGTAATAAACAATTAACTAATGATATTTATATTGGTTGTTTTCCTTATAATGGTTTTTATTTATCAAAATATGAAAATATTTCTTTAGGAAAATTAAATGATCAATTATTTGTACAAAAATGGATTAATCAAACAAATTATACAAATTATTTTCAAACATGTCAACCATTACAATGTCAATATATATCATCTAATAAGAATTATATTCTTTCTATGTTTATGATACTTTTAGAATTATATGGAGGTTTAACTTTTTGTCTATATTTTATTATTAAACAGTTTTTACTTGCTTATCTATGGTGGATAAAAACAAAGAAATAATCTTTGTATTGACCATGAAATTATTCTTTTACTATTATCGATTGTTTTTCTTGATTAAATAGAATTCTCTTCGAAAATTATTTTTTTTATGGAAATCGTAGTGAATTTCTCCTAACCAAAACAGAACTTTAGTATAGGAAAAAAAAGTTATTCGAAAATATTGGTTTTAATATACACATGTTGACAGATAACTACTGCTCACTACAAAATAAAAGGTGGGTAGACGTTTGTTTTGAATAACTTCCTGTGCGTCTTCATCGTTTCTTTCCAAAGGGGAAAATTGCACCTCTCCATTTTGTTCCTATCAAAAGATATCCAGCTGCGTTTCATCGTGACATGGGCAATCGTAAAAAAACAATTTTCAGATACTTAAAATTCTTAAAAGAAAATTATCAACGAACAATTTAATTCAGTATGAAAAAACATCTACAAAAATAATATAGAACATTAATTTCTTGCAGTAAATAAAATATTCGTGTTATTGATAAATGTAATCTTTTGATAGTCACATTGATTAACAAGATTAATGGAAAAAATTCAAGTTTTTCTAATTAAAAATGAGCGGAATAACTAATAACAGGGTTAGTGGTCTAGTGGTATGATTCTCGCTTAGGGTGCGAGAGGCCCGGAGTTCAATTCTCCGCTAACCCCTTACTTCTTTTTTTATTTAATTAAAATTTCTATATAGCTAATAATCTTATATGATTCTATACCATTTCTAAAAATCAAATCCGAACTTTAAATGTAGTTCAGTAGAATATGTATACAATTAAATATTAATTTCATAGCGTTAATTCACCAACGAAAAGAAATCTTTTGATAGTCACATTGATTAGCAAAATTAATAGAGAAAACTCAAGTTTTTTGCCATGAAAAATGACCAAAATTATTAATAACAGGGCTAGTGTTATGATTCTCGCTCAGGGTGCCAGAGGTCGGGAGTTCGATTCTCCTCTAACCCCTTACTTCCGTTATTTAATTATACTTTCTATATAGCTAATAATCTTTCCAAGTTCATCATTTCATTATTAATCTAACATGATTCTATACCATTCCTAAAAATCAACTCTGAACTTTAAATGTAATACAGCAGACTATGTACACAATCGAACATGTTTAATGAAAATGCTTTTAAATATCAATTCATCAACAATAAGAAATTTTTTGATATATTGTATAAAATAGTCAAACAACGTTCTATATTTTCCCGATACAATAAAAATTATTTAGGTAAGAAATTTTATTTTCGAAAAAATATGTACAAAAAAAAATACAAACATTTATTTTATTCAACAATAAATACATTAAAAAATATGGAATAATAATTCTATACATACATTCATCTCGTTCTACACTCCAGACCAATCATTTTCTTTAAATCAATATATATATATACATATAAACCATTTTCTCCTCGTCCGTTTCCATACGATGACTCATATTTCATGCCATCGACGTCCATTATGAATGTCAATTTTCCTCTTTGAATTCATCCCTAAAATCTTGTATATTATCAAATAAAGAGAAAAAGAAATACTCTTCTTAGATAAATAAAGAGCATAATCATAAAATATCTCCATAACCATAATTAAAAAAAAAATGCCAAAGTTCAAGTACTTTGTTCCCATTATTTGACGTTGTCAAATGAATTAGTCATACGATTATTCATCTAGCGTTTTTAAAATTTACAAAAAAAAACAACGATGAAATTCGTGTTCATGTCAACAAAGCAGGACTGTGATATGAATAGAGAATAACTGCACATGACACAATCCCTTTGATGACACAAAGATAATATTCTTTTTTTGTCGATTAATGTGATTTCCATTCCACCAAAGCTGGCTGTGATATGATTCCAACTTATTTTTACACATAATCACAACCAATTGGCGGAATAGTTTTAATTCACAAAATAAAAAAACAATAAAAAGACTTTCTTTCTTTTTTTATTTTATTTTTCTTTAGTTTTATACAGATTAGGAAAAATAAAAAAGACATTCTTTGGAAAGACAGACTAGTAAGGTGATAAATCAATAGTCAACATCTCACTACCCATGTCTTTCATAGAAGATCTTTTTAAGATAAATTGATTTACCTTATCTCGATCGAATTTTTGGATGACCTTACCCGTTAGTTAGTGTTCGGACAATGTCTGACATGCATCTTCTCTTTATATAGTCACAGTGTAGAATAAAAAGAAAAAGAAGGAAATGAACGCGGACGGCAGAAATAGAGAATATATCTGCCGGCCATTGTTCGTGCTTGACCTCGTCCTCCTCTCTTTCCTATTAGCCAATTGGCTCAATGCCCATGAAAAGAATTTTTTCTTTCCTATTTGGCCATTCTCCAATTTCCTTCTTCATCATCTTATTCTCTTTTCACAACTATTTCTCTTCGGTCTTTTCTCTTTTCTTTTCTTTTCTTTTTTTTTGTATATATTAGCAACCGACGGGCATATGTGTCAAAACTGACATAGATGGGAGGAATGGTGGCGCCCGTCGACGGTCACATGAGAAAGAAAAACAATTAGAAATCAATGTGTTCGATTAAGAGAAACGAACCGAGGGAAAAGCACATGGCAAATATTTGTATGAAACGAAAAAGAAAAAAAAACTAAAATAAAATATGTATATAAGAAATAGAGACAACTGTTAGCGACATCACATCCGTTTGTTAGATATTACATTAAAATGAGATAGATAAACATTACATATTTAAATCGATTAACAATCTAATGAAATTTTTCTTTCATGAGTTAAATGGATTTTTTTTGTTGTTTTCTTTTAAATAATTAATATCTAAAAGAAAAATGTGAAAAGCATCGACGCGAAACGTGTCATTGAAAAGAAACGCGAGTATGACTCGTTATATGTTATTGAGTATTTTTTTAACAAAAAAACTATGTATTATCAAATTGTTCTATTATCGAGTATTATTTTTCTACTAGTTTTTATTCATATTTATGTAACACTATATTTATTAAAGACAAATGATGATGTTGATGATATAACAGCATCAACAAATGAATATTTATGTCCACAATATCCTACTTCTAAAGGATATATTCATGTTGATTTTACAGATAATTTCTCATTAAATTATTCAAAAATTTGTAAATCAGATGATATACTTTTAATCTATATTATTTCAAAAGCTGAACATATAGAACGACGAAAAAGAATTCGTCGAACATGGGCAAATAAAAATCGATATGGACAGTTATTACAAACTTGTTTTATATTTTTTATTGGTTATCAAACAAACTATTCTCAATCTATTCGTTCAGAAGCTCAAATTTATAACGATATTATACAATTAAATATCGATGAAACTTATCAAAATATAATCTATAAAGAGATTGGTGCTTTAAAATGGTCACAAATATATGCATCACATGTACCCTATTTATTTAAAACCGATGATGATATTATTGTTGATACATTATTATTAAGTGATATAGTAAAATATTTTCTTGATAGTAACATTGATCATAGTGATTATATACAACGACATGAAGATGTTCAAAATTTTATTAGTGAAATAACAATGGATAATAGATATAATTTATTTCGAGGAATTTATTTAAATGGATATAAAACAATACGTCGAGGAAAATTTGCTCTTAATAATATAGCATGGAATAGTGATTATCTACCAGCATATTGTAGGTATGATAGAAATATTCTATTTATTGAGATATGATATGATTTTATTATTTTTAGTGGAGTTGGATATATATTTTCATCTTTTATTCGTGATCGTCTTTATCGAGCATCACTTTGTTATGGTAAAAAATAATTTTTTTCTCTTTGATATTTTAATAAGAAAAATAAATATTCGTTTTTTTTTTATGTGTATATATAGCAATGGAAAATATTCCATGGATGAGTGATTTATTTATCTCAGGTTTTCTTGCTACTGCAGCAGCAGTACATTGTAGTCCTTGGTCAATAGGATATATACAATCACGTAATGGTTGTTCGTTAAGTTTTCAAAATCAACCACGTTTACTTCTTTGTTCAACATCTATGCATATCGGACGATTATATATGGATGATTATGATGAAGCATGGACAGCAATTCTTGATCGACATTTATTAACTAATGAAACAATTGATGAAGAACGAAAGAAATATATTCGATTATTAAAAATACAAGCACAAGAAAAATTACCTATTGAACAATCAATAATAGAACAGATAGAAAATGATTCAATTGCTCAAAATGAATCCATTGTACCATTGAGTAAAATGGCAGTAAAATTAGACTGATAAATAATTTTATAAATATAAAACTAGTTTTTGAGAATGTATTTTTGATTTATAACTATTATTATAAATATCTTCCAAATTTTTTATCAATTGAACAATCTCTCGTGGATAGCATTCAACAGATCAGTTCAAGATGAGAGAAGAATGATATTGCAAAGAATAGATAGTTGATCAATAAGTAATTAACAAAAACAGATCATTGTCCATCAAATTATATATGATAGGAATCAAGAATTATGTTAAAGATTATCATAGAATTATTGACGCTAGCAGATATATGTGTTGTCTATGATAGAAATATGTGTTGTCTATGATAGAAATATGTTCATTGTATACGAAAATTTCTTTTATAACTAATTAGTATCGAGATAGTTGAGAAATAACGGATACGATCTCCGGACAAAAGAAAAAAAGACAAAATGTTCGAAAGGTTTTTTATTGGAGGTCGGCGTCATTAACAGCGTACTGCTAATAATTGAAAATTTAAATCAATCTCTCAAGATTTTTCATATTTATTGCACTGAAGCAATTCATCAATTAAGTTTGCCTTGCCTCTAGATGATTTGTCTTTGTTTATACTTTTTCGTCGAATAGAAATAATGACTTTGTGATCCTTTAGACAAAAAACAAATTTCTTCAAATATTAAAAAGATACACAACTGACTACTTGATACTTTTTCTAAAAGATAAAACATAAAAAACATAAAATTCATCATTCAGTCGAAGCGACAAGTGTTAGTTGTAACAAAAAAGAAATGATATTAAAACAAGCGAAGTTTAGTTTAAAACAATTATAAAGAAATGAAGTTAGTATACAGAATATGTTAATTCAAAACTATTGCTTATGATACACATACAAGAAAAAAATTAATCTAAATACAACAGTTTAATTTAATATAGTTAGAAGTAGATACATTATCTGTTCATAATTCTACTTCCTTGAATTTAATAAACTAATTCTATCATAAATATCTCCAACAATTAAATATGTATGAGCCACGGATGGATAATCAAATTTATAAATTTCAATTTGTTTATAAAGTAATTTTTCAAAATAATTCAATGCTTCAAAATAGTCTCGTTTATCCAAATAAATATAACCTAAAATAGTATAAATATCACATAATGACAAATTAACATTTTTTTTCTTGAGTAAATTATAAAAAAAGACAAACGCTTGATTTAAATGTTGTTTATTAAATTGAGTATCATTTTCAATTGATTTAATATTCTTATCTAATTTTTCTTTCGATACTTTTTTATGAGAATTATTCGAATATGTCTCAAAATAATTTCTCTTTAAATAAATATTTCCAATCATAACATAGGTATTCATTATTGATGAATCTTCAATTGTTTTTGTTTTTAATTGACAATCAAGTAATCTATAAAGATAAATTAATGATTTATCATAATTATTTTGTTGAAAATAAATTGTAGCAATAGCTTTATATATATTTTCTAATGTTGGATCATTAACTGTTTTTCGTTCTAATGCATTATTTAACAATTCAATAAAATAATATAATGATTTATTAAAATTTTCTTGTTCATAACAAATATTTGCTAATATATAATAAGTATTTGCTAGTACAGGATCCGTTTTTGAATGAGTTTCTAATTGTTTATTAAGAAAATTTTGAAAATAATTTAACGATTGATCTAAATGACGTTTTTCAAAATTAATATTTTCAATCAATCGAGTTTTATCTTTCATTTGAACATTTTCAAATCTTTTATAAAATAATATTGTTTTATCAAATTGAGATTTTTTTAAATAAATTTGTCCTATTAAAGTATAAATTCGATTAATCATTGATTGATTCAATGGTGTTTTTCGTAAATAACAATTAAGTAAACGATTATTATAAACTAATAATTGATTCCAATCATTGTTTTTAAAACAAATATCAGTAATAAATTCATATAAAATAATTAATGATTTATCTTCATTTGGTTTCGTTTCTAATTCATTGTCAAGACATTTAAGGAAATAATTTAATGCATTATTTAAATCATTTTTATTTGAATGAGTATGATATTTATCATAATAAAATTTTCCAAGAATTTTATACGCAAAACTTAATGATGAATCTCCAGCTTTACTTCGTTCTAATTCACCATCAAGTGCTTTATTAAAATAAATTGATGCTTGATTATAATCTTTTTTTTTCCAATAGACAGTTCCAATAATATAATAAGTTTCAATAACTGATGGATGATTTGATGAGAGTGTTTTTAATTGATTTTCTAATAACTTTTCATAATAGGATAGTGCTTTATCTAAATCACCTAGTTTCATATATATATTACCAAAATTTTTATAAGATTGACCTAAATCGGGATGATTATTTGGTAATGTTTCACATTGTACTTTATAAGCTTTTTCAATGAATTCTAAAGCTTTTTGTTGATCACCAAGTTCTGAATACATTAAACCAATTTCTGCATATGTATAACTCAGATCTGGATGATCAGGTGAAAGCTCTTTAATTTGAGTTTTTAAAGCTTTATCAAATATTTTCGATGCTTCTTCTTTTTTATTCATTGCAGTATAAATTTTTCCCATATCAATATATGTTTTTGTCATTGATACAAGATCTGTATTTGATTGATGTTGAAGAGATTTTTCTAAATATTCTAATGCTAATTGATAATGTTTCATTTGAAAATGAACATGTGATAAATTCGAATAAGTTACTGATGAAATATTGTTTTTTATCTGTAATGCTTTATCAAAAAATTTAAATGCAGTTTCATAATTATTTTGATTCGAATAAGCTAATCCTAAATCATTATAACATTGTGAAATAAGTGGATGATCATTTGATGAATTTTTCGATAAATAATTTAATGCTTTGTTTAAATGTTCTATAGATAAATTAGAATTTCCTTGTTTTTCATTAACTTTTGCAAGTCCATGATAACAATAAGCATGTTCAATATCATTTTTTGCTAAATTTTGTTTTAAAATTTTTTCAAAAAGTTCTTGAGCATCAGCATATTTGAGCATGTCAATAAAACTGTATCCAATTGCAATTAATTGATTTTGTCCTTTTAATTGACCATCTAATGATGATGAAAGATTTTTCATATCTTGATCTTCATCTGAACATAATGTTAAATTAGCCATCCATAGTTTTATTTTTTCATCATAATAAATATTATCAATTCGAAAAATACAACCTAGCATAAAAAGAATTTCTTCTTCTTCCGAAAAAGCACTTAAATTTCTTATATCAGCATATGGTTTTGATTTAGCATTTAAATCAACAGTTATTTCTAATAAAATCGATGTTACTATATCATTTGGTGGTGCTCGACTTGTTGCAAATTCTAACGCTTTTTTTTTATTCGTACTTGTTGATAAAAATGAATTCATTGAAATAAATTGTCCTATACCAGCTTTAAGACGATTAACTTCATCTTTACTAATCAATTGTCCACGATAAACTTTAATAACTGATGTTGTTTGTTGTTTTACAAATAATTTATGTTGTTCACCTAATTGTCCATTTAAATCTCTAATAAATGAATAAAAAGGGCTAACATCATCAATATTTTGTGTTCTTAAAGCTTTATTTAAAATTTTATAAATACAAGATTCTCTTGTATACCAATGAATTGCTTTTTTTGAATTATAACTTGTATCAAATTCATTCATTACTTTCTTGTCGCCTATATCATCTGGTTCAAAATAATTTAAAAGTGAAGATTCATTTGTTAATAACGCCTCTTTATCATCGAGTATTTGTTGAAGTAATACTTGATAAAGTATAAATTCCCCATTTAATGATTTATGCATACTTTTATCATCTTTTGCTGAAAAAACAACTGAACCCATTCTTTCAGTACGATCATTTTGTTTACTTGGATCTTGCTTTCGTCGTATAATAGTTCGAGACATAATTCAATAGTGAATTTACTAAATAGTATCTAATTAATAAAATACATATGATAATAGAAAATTTTTGGAAAGACAGAAATGTCAAAGTTTAGGTCAGCTGAGTTTAATTAAACTGAATTCAAAAAAAAACATTCAGATAGGACTATTAATGAACAGCTTTTCTACTTTGTACTATTAACAGAACAATACTCAATTGTACTCTGGTATAGATATATGCATATTTAGATAGACAAATTTTATTACCTGTTAATGATGGCGAGATAAAATCACAGTAGGTAATTTCGATCGATATGAAATGTGTGCGTACTTTTACACGGCTTTTTTTCTTATATTTAATATTCCATCCGTGCGCAATATATTTTCTTTCTACAAATTATAAAAGCAACCATCCAATAAATTACTGATATTTTATTTGTATATGTTGTTATCGCTTATCAGAAAAACGAACATTACACACTTTACATATACAATATTTATCCGAGATATATCTTCATACCAATCATCACCATTACAACAACACTAACAAAATCATTAGAGACATATAACCAATTTCATGTGTCTCCTCTCCAGCTTTTAATAACAACACGTCCTGTTTTTTATTATCCTTGTGTTATCATATTTTAAATAGTATGAATAAAAAACATCATGGAATAATATTATTCAATGCCGTTTTTTTTCTTCGTGTATATTTCTGTACGCAAATTACTTACGGAATAAAAAATGGCGAAAAATGATGTAATTTATACTAATTAAATGAGACTTACATCATTTAAATGAAATTTTTTCCATGGGAAATGATGTTTATAAATTAAAAAAATTGAATTTTTATGATCAGATGGAACGAGCACAATCTTTGATGTTTTTTGGATTCATCAAGTATTTTTAACAGATTAAGTCATGAAAATCATTATTTTTATATGAAACACATGCTATTAAAATCATAAAAAATATGTGATAATGATTTTTTTACAAGTTCATTAATTAAGAAGAATATGAAATATCAATAAATTAGAATTTTTGAACCGTGATTTTCATTGAAAAAATTAGGGTGCGAGATATCTTGTGCCCTTATGTATTTGGTATCCTTGAAAATTTATATATGTAAAGACAACTACATGAATTGATCTAAATTAACCATTTAAATCATGTATTTCATTTATTTACAGTGACGAATATGATGTGATAATTTTGATTTTTTCTGAAATACTGAACCCTTTCTCGGTGACTCGATTTTCGAAAATAGCTTTAATGTATTCATTCTCATGTGTTTTTATTCTCGATAAATGCACTTGCTAGTTGTTTCAGTGAGTGCAACCATTCTTTCGTCTTTCACTTATTTGTATAATTACATAGACGCTTCTCTTTTTACGTCGGACTGAAGAACTGTTTATGTTTGTTTTTCTCGTTCCCCATATGTGTTACGCAGTAGGGACCATATAATAACATGAAATTCAGTTTTTTTTTCTTTCGCATTCTCTTCATATAGCATTATCTTTGATTCTTTCCTCTCATACGTATCAAAACAAGTGAAATTTTGAGTTAATTTGCGTGTCGTCTGAAGAAATCGATACAGAAGGGTGTGGGTGTGGGTGTAGATTCATATTATCTGCATACTACATCCACAGTTACTCTTATTTTGGAAAACGATTACAATAAATATTGGTGTGTGGATTGTAGAGCTTTTCATGATGTACCTTGTAGTATCTTTTACAAAGGATGTCCGGGAAAGAGACGGAGAAATAAGAAAAAAAAATAAGTTGATCGTCTATAAAAAAATTATTTTTTCTCTCTGGTCGTTGTTTACTTTCTCAAAATTTTGTCATAATGAAAGCAAAAAATGCAACTATAAAATGAGTGATTTTATGTATCTTTCATAAGAAAAATATGTTCTTATCTATTAGAAAAGTTGCTTCGAATAATTATCTAATCAACATTTCGTAATTCTAAAATAATTTTTTTATTAATATTTAATATGAAATAAAAAAAACAATTCAATACATTTTCAATAATGTCAATCATATATTGTTTGAATCCATTTTTTAATATTATTGAGTGTACTTTGTGCTTCAGGACAGTAAAGAAAAAATGTTGGATAAGCATGCATCAGATGTAAACCTTCTTCAAATGTAACATCAACATTTACTTCTTTTGCTTTTTTCCATAATCGTCTTGAATCATCTTCTAATATTTCTGCTGTTCCAACATTAATGTACATTGGTGGAAATTTTTCAAATGAACCGAATAAAGGACTAAAAATAGCATTATCAGCGGATAATTCAGTTTGATTAGAATCAAATAATTGATTCATCAACCAGTCACTATTATCGAATCGAAGTACTACATCAATATGTTTATTACGAGTATGACTTTCTCCAGATTGTGAAAGATCAGTCCATGGTGATAGAACAATAATACCACGAGGAATAGGTAATTCTTTACCAATTAATGCTTGAATTGTCAATAAAGCAAGACCACCACCAGCTGAATCACCCATAAATATTATTTGAGATGACGAAATATTATGATGAAGAAGAGCACGATAGATTGCTAATGAATCTTTCGTCGCTGCAGGTAGTGGATATTCAGGACAAAGACGATATTCCAAATGAAGTACAGTCATATTGAAAAGTTTAGACAAATGACATTCATATCCAGTATAAACTATGAAAATATAAAACAATATTTTAATTATTAGTACTAAATGAAATTATTTACCTTGAATATTTCCAACCATATATCCACCACCATGAAAATATAATAATAAATTATCAGTTTCTTTTTGAAAATTTTTCGAAGGATAATTAATCCAATAAGCATCTACTGAATGTTGATCATAATCGAATATTTCCTTACTAATTGAACATTGTGATGGTTTTGGAGTAATAATATTCTCATTAACTAATGAACGTAAATTGTTTACCATAGTAAGTGAATCTACTGATGGATTATGATTGAATGGAGGTTGTAGACGAAGCATAGTTTCAATGGCAAGATAGCTTGCACTAAGCGTTGGTCGAGTTTGATCGGATATAAAAGAATATTTTAATGATAATAGAGAATGAACCAAACGAATACGAAGATATCGATAATCTGTTGATCCATATCGTATTGGAATAGCGATAGCCAGAATTAAAATAAATACAATCGATATTTTTAAAAGTCCAACAAAACTATTTAGAAATAGCATTATTCAACTTTTTTTTCTAAAAACTTATAAATATACATAATTTATTTTGATTTTCATATAATTCATGTTAGTTTTTTATATCATTTAACCAAACATATTTTATAGTTACTCACTATACAAAAAATTCTGACTGTACTGCTGAAAATTTATTTATGTTTAAGTATTTGACTCTTATAAAAAAGAGAAAAAAATTGGATAAACATGCATCAAATGAAACATCGATGCTCGAATCTTGAGCTTTTTTGTATCATAGTAAAAACATCATGCTGTATTACCCTTGTTTACTACTTACTAGCTGTAGTGAGCACATGTTTTGTTATTTTCTTTTAGTTTATCGACACGTTTGATACAGAACAAAAATCAACCATAAAATGTATTGATTTCGTATGTAGACAAACTTATAGTACGTTTACGGACGAAGTTTTGTTATTATAATAATGAAATCATACTAAATATCAAAACTTTTATTTAAATATTATGTATAATATGATGTTCATACGCAATTTTTTTTCTTCTTCTCAATTGATATAGTTGTTTATTTAAAATTAATTTCAATATTTATTATAGAATGTAAAAGAAAATTCTAAATTAATTTTTATTATCGTCCAGAGCGTGAGATGATTATAATATTTACACTCACATTCTTCATTTAACTATTCTTTGGAAGAATAAAATCTCCATTTTCATACCTATCCGAGTTAAAAGAAAGGAAAAAAACTCTTCTACATCTTATCTTTTGTGAATACAACAAGTAGAAATTATTTATGGATATCCATTTTTCTTTTATATTTTATTATCGACTAACACAATAATAAAAATTGAATGAATCACAACATTAGATTAGATTAAAAACATTATTATTGCATATTTCTCAATATCCTGACAGAAAAAATGAGAGATGAAGTACACATTATAAAAGTTGCAAGTATTTGAACTTTCTTTATCTTATTATATCGCTTTTTGCACAAATACTTAGTAACGTATATTATGAGAAGACCATGATGTTCAATTGTACTTTCACTATGAAAGTTTAGAAAGAAAATAATAAATTCTGCATATATGGATATTTATTATCTCATATATCGAAAATATACTAAAAAGCTAAAAAAAATAATTAAATGAGAAAAAACTTTTTTATTAATTTGATAGAAATCTAGTTGACTAAAAGATATTAGTTACTTTCCAATAGATACTTGAATTTATCTTCGATAATTTCATATGAATTTTCATTGAACTATGTCTCAAAGAATCAGTTGCAGTTTATTTATTTTCAAACAAAGAATTTTATTGATTACTTAAAACGAACGATCTTGTTTTGAACAGATCAGGAAAAAAAAATAACTAAGTTTATGAAACTTATCTATATTGTTTTACACGTCCAAAACTAATGTTTCGAACTTTAAGTAATTGTAATACATATAGTTCTATGCATCCGGAAAAGTTCCATAACTAGAAATGTTATTATTATTGAATAATGAATTACTGTCCAATGTATAGATATACTGATGTATTTGTCATTAATATCCATAATCGAAATGTTTTGTTGAAATTTACAAGATCGAGCGAAACTAACAATGCAAGAGAACACTGACAGTGTTCGAAGCAGAGTTAGCAACAATAATATCAGGTTTATTGTCACTATTCACGTCGACGACTGCTACTGATATTGGACCAGCCTCAACTGTATATGTAGTTTGAGCATTGAAGGTGCCATTACCTGCGTTGAGAAGAATACTGACGCTATACGAACTATAGTTTGCAACAATAATATCAGGTTTATTGTCGTTATTTACATCAACAACTGCTACTGAGTATGGATTAATGCTAACTGAGTAAGTAGCTTGAGTATTAAAGATGCCGTTGCCTGCGTTGAGAAGAACACTGACATTGTTCGAACCATAGTTTGCAACAATAATATCAGGTTTATTATCGTTATTCACATCGGCGACTGCTACTGATGCTGGCGTACTGCCAACTGCGTAAGTAGTTTGAGCATTAAAGGTGCCATTGCCCTTGTCGAGAAGAACGCCGACGGTGTTCGAACCAGAATTAGCAACAATAATATCAGGTTTACTGTCGTTATTCACATCAACAACTGCTATGGAGAAGGGACCACTGATACCTGTATATATAGTTTGAGCCTTGAAGGTGCTATTGCCTACGTTGAGAAGAACACCGATATTATTCGAATTATAGTTTGCAACAATAATATCGGGTTTATTATCGTTATTTACGTCAACGACTGCTACTGATATTGGCTCAGAGCTAACTGCGTAAGTAGTTTGAGTATTAAAGGTACCACTACCTGTGCTGAGAAGAACACTGACGGTATTCGAACCGGCGTTTGCAGCAACAATATCAGATTTATTGTCCTTATTCACATCAACAACTGCTACTGAGTATGGACCACCGCCAACTACGTAAATAGTTTGAGCATTAAAGGTGCCATTGCCTGTGTTGAGAAGAACACCGGTATTGTTCGAACCATAGTTGGCAACAACAATATCAGGTTTATTGTCGCTATTCACATCGACGACTACTACTGCTTTTGGGTTAGCGCCAACTGGATAAGTAGCTTGATCACGAAAAGAGTTGCAGACTATTAAAAACAAATATTATTTTTAGTATTTTAAATGATTTAGAGACAAAAATTCATCATTGAATTCTTTAGGATTTACATATCGTTGCCTCAATTAGCACTACGGCAATAAACAGAGGATGTGAGTATGGGTATTACATTAACCATACTCTGAGACTCACACCCACAACAAATGCATAGCACTAATAAAAATATAATACAGTCTTTCATAGTCTGACAAAGTTTTACTTATCAATTTACAGGTCGATTTCTTAGTTTAATCGATTTATAGAGAATCACGAGAAGCTCTAAAACATCAGCTGGTACCTTCACTTGCTCTAGACAGAATAACAATCATTGTCGAAGCATACTTCTCACGTTAGGATAAACATTCTTATGCATTGAAAAACGATAACAGTGTAATAAACTGTCTAATATTTACAAAAAAATTGATTAAGTAAGTGTTAATTCATCTTGTCTTCAGCTTTGCATATAGACACTAGCTTGCCTGTGTACAAAGATCCTATTTTCATCTTGAGAAGTTTCTTGCTCAGCAGACTCTTCTTATCGTTTCAAATTTGAGATGATTCGAAGTAATAAACACTAAGTTTTTAAATCTCATGTGACTATTTCTCTTTTCAACATCTGACGTAAGCATTAAATATTTAACTCCGCACTTACCACTTGTTGTTGTTGTTGTTGTTGTTGAAGTTGAAGTTGAAGTTGAAGTTGATGATGATGATGTTGTTGTCGGTATTGGTGATGATGTACTCAGTTCTGTTTCAAAAAAATATGGTTAACATGAAACAAGAACATTGGATAAAGCTTTGTTAAAAATCTAGCATTTCTTAGTTCACTACTCTAGTTCATTTTTTTGTGAATGGCTGATTCTGAGAACAGATACTAATGATTAGCGAACATTACAAAATACAGTCATTGGAAAATATCATTCATATGAGCGAATTTGTTTAGAATTTAAAAAGCATAAATATCATATTCATTTAAAATATTGGAATCTGGGTCTATAGTTAACTACTATATTTTTGTACTATTGCGAAATGAAAACTTACGATATTCTTGAGCATTTAATATGGATATTGATGATTGATTAATGAATATAAAAGTAGAATTTAAATAAAATTCAATATAAATTGTACTCATATTTGAACGAAATAATTGACAAGTTTGATTTGTTGAAAAGTAATTTAAAGCAGATATTGAATCATTTACTTTTATCATTTCACATATACATTGATTTTGTGTGACATCGAATAAATTCTTATACATATCACCAACTATGATATAACTATGTACTTTAGCAGTAAGAATAGAATTACAGACAGAAAATAACGATAAAATAAATATCAACCAAAACATGTTGTACTTCTTTACTTTCTAAAGTACTTTATAAATGTTTGACTAGCTTTTTTTTACTATTCTTTTTTCCTTTTTTTCTGCAACACTCTTTCTCTTTTTAGTTTAATAATTATTCATTCCAGAGAAACTAGCGTCATACGTTTTGCAACAGTTTTTGTTATGCTTTTTTACTTAGCTGTTTAGAGGATTGAATTCGTTTCCAACGAGATATTAACAGAGGAAAAAGATATGAACGGTTTTGTTCTTAATTAAATTGCTTATTAAATATCAGACAAGAGAAAAAAAAGGTGATAATATTAACAAATGACTTCATTTATACGCTCAGTAAGCACATGTGTCCGATAAGAAAATTTTGTCGATGACATCGAATATTATCTTATTTATGATATTTTCTAAATAAAAACCACTGTAATCAAATATTTTTCTCCTGTATATTAATATAGTCCCACGATCTTCTTTAATGAAATATATTGAAAAAGAAAATTAAGATTAGTTTTTAATTGAGGCCATATAACACTGTTTTCTACAAGAAAATACAATTTATTAATCATTAATACGTTTCTTTGAGTTATAATCCAAAGATTCACTAAAAAAACTATGCACGGTGATACATTCTCTAACTAGAGAAATTTCAGTTAAAACAGTGCACATCCTATAAAAATTGTTTATGATAAAAGTTTATATTTTTCATGAACGTCATTCATAGCATATACTTAACTACAGTGTTTTAATGGCATCCATTTAAGCGTTAAGTAGTTGTAAATGAAAACTAAGTAAAAAATTCTATTTTTGTTAAGTAATTTATTGAACACAAGTCTAAGTAGGAAAATTTTTTTGCTAAGTAATTTATATAAATTCTCAATAAAAACACTTTTTTTCTTTCTCGTAGAGAAAAGTCTTGCAAGAACAAATTGGTTACTTGTGAGTCCGTACTACGGACTCCGTAGAGTACAAAGAACATCGAACACCGATTTTTAGAAAAAAAACGTTTCTTGAGTTATTTCGATGCAAGGAATTCACATATGTGCCTCATTTGCTCAGACTACTAAAGTGCAGTAGGGGAGACTGAGAAGTGACGTGGACTGATAGAAACCGAGTTTCGAATAATGCATTTTTCATGGTATGCAAATGTCCTCCTGCTTGTAGTGCAGAGTGTGGCGACCATAAACTGTCGGCTTTCTTTTGTAAAAAATTACTAACACTTCACTTATTTGTTAAAGGCTAGTTCGAAAAGCCATTGGTGCCGACAGCTCAAATGTGTTTTGATCTGTGTTTATCACTGAGTAGGATGCGAGTATGTGCTAAGAGTAGAGAGCAACAAAGGAGAGTAAGGTTTTCTACTGCTTCTCCAATTAATGTGAAGGCGATGCATTTCTACGAGAAAGAGCTAAGCGAGTCCTCGGACGAGCGTTACTTGTCATACAAGTGTTATTTTCATTCCAATACTGAACAATATCAACTGATATGTTATTTATAGAAGATAAACACATTCAACCAATGTTATTTCTATTATATTATTATACAGCAGTATACACTTTATTTGAACCATTACCACATATTTCTTATTTTTATTAATTGAAAAACAACTGAACAAGCTCTACAACAAATTATTCAAGCTGCAATAACATTCACTGAATTTATAATTGATACTGAATCAATAAATATTTATCCAACACGAAACGAATCAGCATTAATACAATTACTAATTGTTTTATCACATAATTATTTACTTGCATTATTAATAGTTCTTACTTTAAATCAATTAAAAAACTATTTCGAATATCATTTTCTCGTGAAAAAATAATTTATATCTGAGGATCAAACAAGGATGAATTCGATTTGCAACACACAGTTTATTTTCGGAGCAACGGATAAATGATGTGCAACCAACCAATTTACAAGCGGAATTTAAATTATTCTGGAATAAATAAAATCCACATTAATCAGTAATAAATTATTGTACTTGTGGAAAATATTTTGGAAAAATCCATGTGATTTACGGTTTCTTCAAGACGCAGTGACTGGTGAATTAAAAGAATATCTATCAAAACAATTAACAATGGGTGATTTTAATATTGGTTTGGATCCAGATCTTTATCATACGAACAATAAAGAAAAATATCATCGTAAAGCATGATATCATATGTGTATTCTTCGAATTAGATGAATTTAATCTACAGTTCTGCAAGTCCAAATTAAATTGGCTGCTATATATAACAAAAGAAGATTTCTATCTTTACGTTAAGAATGTTAGTATGGACTTGCTCAGCTTCGGATGCCGTTGCGTCTATCATGCCCACTTTTATTATAGAGATTTTAGTAAACTAATTAGTGCTACAGATCCATTAATTTTATCAGCATATCATCGACGTACTGATGTTAATAGTATTGTGCAGCAACAACAAGCAGTGTTACGATGCAAATTTATTATTGCACGATCGACATTTTTATCCAATTTATCGTGTATCTTGTTAGTTCTAATGCGTACGATTTTAATAAAAACAAACATATTTATATATATGGTCTACAAGGTTTCCGGAAAACGCAGCTTATCGAACTTCCTTCTTTTCGATGACTTTATTTTAAGTCATAATTCATTGATTATTCCGACTCTTTTGCGACTTATGGATAAATTATCTATAACTATTTCTGTTAACTGTGAAGTACTGAAATTTTTGTTGTATCAAAATGTACAAGTAATGTTTCTTTCTAATCTAACTAAAGACGATTGGTTCGAAAATAGCGATCCGATTCTTGTCGAACAATCTAAGATTCTATTCCGAAGATGTTCGTATTTTATTGTAAATCATTTGTTACTTATGTGTTCAGGTGCTTGTTCCATTTATTTTATTCATAAACTAACATGATTTCGAGAAGAATCTTTGAAGAATTAACAATTAATTTATTTTATAAATAAATACTATTTACGCGAGAACAATTCACACGCACACCCTCACCTTCACGAAAAAGTTAAGAAAAATAAACAAAGCTTAAAAAAAAAGAACTGAACAACAAAAAACAACAAAAATATATACATTTTCTCGTATTTATAAACAAGATAACGCGCGTCGGAGCGACTCGCTTGACCCTCGACTGATTGCGTCTAGTATACTTCCAAAAACAAATCATAGAGATGCATTCTTTTGATTCCTTATACCATTGTTTGTTGAAATGTTTCTCAATTTTTAGTATTGCGCCGGGTGACTTGATGAATTTAACAAAAACTTGTTCTAGTTCATACACGAGCACCTCCGTGAACAGTGTTATATCCGCAGCGGCTCGTCGGTCGTCGGCGTCCCTACGGTCCGCCACTCCCGACTCACCGCTGCTAATGGATGATCCCAACTGCTTTTCACTCTATGCGTCACTCCTCTATTGTTGTTACATGATCATTTCAGAATAGGTACTCTCTATGTATAGTTTCCCATATAGCGGGCGAGGGAAGCATATCGAGAAACCCACGGTACCATCGAATCCCCCACTTCCGAACACTTCCCATTCTAGTATTCGGTGGCGGCGGAGTGTGGAGGCTCAAGAGGCTTAAGCCTCACTTAGTTTTCAGCCCTTGAGGCTCAGCCTCACTTATTTTCGGATTGAATATTATCTTTTATTATTAGAATTTGTTATGTTCGACATCTAACATACCTAGATATATATTCTGACGTATCTATCTTTCAATGCGGTTCACCTATTTTTATATGTTTTTCTTTTCTCTATTCTTTTATCGCATAGATATCACATACAGCTTATATATATATCATGTATGTTTTTCTTTTCTTTTACTTGTATATTTCCCTTGTCTATGTGGTACTCAGGTATTTTTCCTCTTTGCTTACATGTTTTCTTGTCTGCATGTTCAGTTTTTTCTCATTTCGTCTATATGTTTTATTCCCAAAACGTTTGGGTTTTTCAAGCGCATATACACATACACATATATATATATTATTGCCGTAATATTATTACGGCAATAATATATTAGCTCAGTAGTGATTGGATTGATTTATATCCTCTTCACAGTGTATTTAATGGCTGGAAAACGTCCAAACATTCATCCATTTTTCTTTTTGACACATATACAAAGAAAAGTCTGTGTTCAACTTTCGCATCGAAGAACGAACAGAAAAAGTTATTTTTTTGTACGACCTGATTTGTTTTATTTGCACGATGACCGTCATAGTTTTCATTGAGGTCTAATAAAAAGAAGACTCATATTTTGCTTCATATTTTAATAAAAGTCCACAGTAGAAAAAAATATTGTGAGCCTCACTTAGATTAATGACGCTCCGCCGCCCCTGCTAGTATTGAAAGGTCTTCCGATTGAATGTGTTTTGTTGACACCAACGTTCCTTTGACCTCTCCAGACAAACAGACAAACTACTTCTCATTCACCCTCCTGACAGTCAAGGAAAGAAAACAGCCTCACTACTTTACACAACGCATTCCAGGGATGTGTGGTGTTGGTGGGTATGACTATTTTGCCATTCTACATCCTCATCTACCTTTCCATACCATCATTCAAATCTGGCACCAACCCATACCCATACCCTTGAAGTCTTCGTATTGAAAAACCTCTTAAAACGTCTTTTTCGAAAAATTAGTTTTCGATG